TCAAGCCTTACAAGTGAGGGATCAAGGAGCAACATTCTCAAATTGTGAATGGAGCTCCATCCAGCCTTCCACACAGGAGAGAAAGTTGTTGTGCAGGAACTTCAAAGGAGAGTTTATCCAAATTGTGGGGGTGGGGAATAAGTGATTTTTGGAAGATAAAGTCTCGCCGCTTATTCTAAGGGTGTCAATGTAGATTTGGTCTTACCTCCGACGCTATAACTTTCAAGCTGAATCTAAATTGAAATGGGAAGTCTTGAAGGCTATTCCTTGTTGCAATTGAAAAATCTCTGTTTGGGAAATAGATCTGAAACAGCGCAGAAAATAATTATTCTTAACTCAGGATTGAGTTTACTGGTGGGATATGGGACAGAAACTTGCTTTATGGGCCAAGGTGTGTGCCCCACACACACACACACACACACACACACACAATGTGTCTTAATTTCCAGTGTAGTTGAAATAAGTGAATAAGCCTCCAATAGAAGGAAAACATTTGTTTTAATTCATTAGTAATAGTTGCTTATGTTTACAAAATGCCACAGTAGTGAATTATTCCATTTCCTGCAAACTTTTTTCTTCATAGCTAGACAATATCAGATATCAATTCAAAGGATTGCCATAATAACATATTTGACATACATACTTCTTCCAATCTATTTCATTTTAAATTCTCTTTCAATGTTCCTAATAATTTAAGGTTTCTCTTGGTGGCTTTCATAATGTAAAACAAGCCCCATTCTATAGTCCTCACTCAGGCTCAACTCCCCATTGGTTTAAGTGGGGATCTTTGAGTCAGAACAGCACAATTAGTCGCGTAATAGCAACATTTTTCTCTAACCTTTTCGATTACAGGTAAAAGAATTTCATTTCCGTGCCAAGTGCATCTACACAGCAGTGATGGTCCGCAGGGTAATTCTGGCCCAAGGAGAAAACAAAGTAGATGACAGAGACTATTATGGAAACAAGCGATTGGAATTGGCTGGGCAGGTGGGTCCCCACTTTGGGGTTGTGATTTTTGTTTGTTTTTTTGTTTTTACTTTAAAAAAGATGTAGGGTCGAGGTATGCTTTCCCTGAATTGGGCCTTAAACAATATAAAACACTTGAAGTAAGATTCTCACCCGCACTCTGCCCCTTTACACCTGGGAATAGGGTTGGAGCAGTGTAAGGGGGCCCTAATAGCCTCAGGCTGGCTGTAGGAGAACTCCCTTGGTACACATACTGCAGAAGACAGCTATAAGGGCTGTCTTCTGAGGATCCCCTTGCAAGCCCTGGTGTGGGGGTTGGGACTGGAGGCAGGTGGGCACATCAGGGATGTGCTGCAGGCCTGCAGAGATTTGGGGCAGTACTGCAGCCCGTAGAACTGTCCCAGCAGGCTGCCGTAACTTAGACAAGCCCCTTGGGTTGTCTGAGTTATGCTGCGGGTTTCTCCAGCCCCAGGAGCAGCTCAGATTGGGAAGGTGCAAAGATGGCTTAAAGCAGCCTTAGCTCCCCTCCCTCTGGGCTATAAGCTCTGTGCTGCATGTCCTTGCATGCTCCTAATAAAAAGGGTTAGTTGTCTACATGTCTGTCAGTTTAGGGCATTGACCACTTTAGTTGCCAAGACCCTAGTATAACTTACATTATTTTACATTTTATTATTTAGTTATGATGAGGAAGTAGTTTAGATTGAAGTTGGACTTCATTGCGTGACTCGGTACAAATTAAAACAGTGTATTCAGGTATATAACAGCACTTACGGACTACATGTGTTTTTATGTTGTGCCACCTCTGTTTCTTCTTAGACCATACATGAAGAATTTAGACTGATGTGTATATAATGAGGCAAACTGGAAAAATTGTGTACACACACACACACACACGGGCATAGTGTAAAAAATGCCCTTTCTTCAAACAGCTAACAAAAATTTACCACACTTTCCTCCCTAACACAGTTCTTTCTGATTTTACACAAGCATCGAACAACTTCAGCCTAAAGCTAATTTCCCCCCCCGGAATATTATAATTGACCGAATGTTTTAAGGTTATAATGAAGGCACCACTGCAGCCTTAACTTGTAACATTATTGCTGTAATGCTGTAGTATTTTAACCAGTAAAAGCAATCATAAATTTGCCACTACATCCATCCTACCTAAATAGATTGAAGGTTGATTATTTATATTGGTGTAATCGAATCACAGAAAACATAAATACAACCTTTCTGCAATCTGAAACAAAAGCATTCTGGTTGCAAACGTTACAACAGCCATAGTTGATTAAAGTGGTAGTGTAGCCATGTTGGTCCCAGGATATTAGAGAGACAAGGTGGGTGAGATAGTATCTTTTACTGGACCAACACAAGTTGGTCCAGTAAAAGATATTACCTCTCTTACCTTGTCTCTCTAAAAGTTGGTTAAATTAAATGGAAAGTTTTTTTTTTTTTAATTGCAGAAGATCATTGTAACAAAGGCAATGCATAGTAGTTTATTTCATCATGGATAGCTTTGCAGTGATTGCATATATTTGTACCATTTGATTTAGTAGTTCAAGTTCCCTTGGGATCTCCTAAATGATCCTTGGAAGCTGAGCATTTGACTCCCCTTTCTGCCCTTTCCTCTAAACCCCCCCCCCCCCAACACATGTTATCAGCATAAGCTTGATTTACCTGTACTTGGGGACTAAAACAATAAAATAAAGCACAGGATGAGATTTCACTTTTTCTTTATGTGAGTTTTAAAATGTTTACAATTAGCTGAAGTTTATGTAACTAAACGGGCTGAGATTTTTAAAATGCTAGTTGTGTTTCTGGAATAAAAATCCTGTTGCTTAAAGATTTGAATAAAAAAGAGCATCCCCGTGTGAAGAGGAAAACATAGCGGTCTAAACAATGTAAAGACATAAAAGGCATTGTGTTTCTAAAAATGTGTGAAAACAATAGCTGCTAATTTCACACCCCATGGGACAAGGGAGTATGAAATGTGCTTTAGCTTTAGATAACAGAGTTGTATCCACTAGCCAAGCTGGTTTACAGAGCTTTCTCTTAGTCTTTCTGCCACTAGAGGCTTGGTAGGCCAGGTGCCAGCAGAGGTGTTAGCAAAACCTACTGATTTCAGGCTTAATCTTTTCACCTACCTCTTCTCTTTCCTTAATGTGTTCATTATTTGCTGAGCATTACTCTGTTCTTTGTCCTCAATTTTTTTTGTTTCTAATGCAGCTAGCTTTGTATGGGTGAGATATGGAACAGCACCAAAATCCGGCACCCTGGAAAGCAAGGGATTTCTACCCTGTGACAAAAGAATACCGCCTTGACTTCAGAGATTGCCTAATCCCAGCTGTTCTGATAATATAATTAAGGCTGCCTAATGTCTTTAATTTTGCAACCAGTTTGTGTGAAAAGGAGAATTTGGCACTCTAAAGGCTTAAACACTAAATAACAATCTCAAGGCGCCTAATTAGAATTCTCTGACATTAAGCTAATTGGTGAAACTGTATTTCAGCAGCTTAACTTCTTTATTAATTTTTTTCTTTAGGATTTTCAATCAATTGATGAGCTGTCAGTATTTTTTTCTTAAATATAATTTGCTCTTTAGTGCTCCTGTCTTAAGCTGGCTGAAAGGCCTTGGACTAGCTCTGAAATGTATTGAATATTATCACTGGCATTGCATCCCTTTTCTTTTAATCACTTACTCTTGACCTAAATAATGTGGTTATTGTGAGACTTTGTTTTGCAGATATTCACTGCTCTTACAGAGAGGCTGTGAAAGTACAAAAATTAGCAAAGTGTGTAAGGCTTTTAGGCTGGAAAATTTAAAGTCTGTGTACTTAGGATGTAACTTACTTATTACCTCAAAGAAAAAGAGATTTCGTTTGTGTCCATATTCACTACAGTTCCTGGCACTGGAAGATTTTAGTGGAATTGTAGTGTTTGTTTTTCAATCAGCAGGTTCAGTGCAGAAAATATTTTTCTAGTTGGCTAATTAAAACATTCTGTTTTTACTGGACATTCATTTTAAGGTATGCTCAAAAGCCAATTTACATCAATGGAAATACTCTTGACTTCAGTGGACGCTGGCTCAAGCCCCTTGATCCTTAAAATTGTCAGGGGGACAAATTGCAAAACTGTTCCCTCCCACTCACACATCATTCTCAGTAAAGGGTTATAACTTTGAAGACTCCAGTTAAAAATTTTCCTCCCTAAGAGTATGGTCTGTATGACTTTTAAAATTAAGTAGAATGATTTTGAACCAAAAAGCAACTGTTGTTATGGAGGCACCAGCTGTGGCTCCATAGTCAAGATTTGAGTTTTGCACTAAAGCCTGGTCTACACTGGGGTTTAGATCAATGTACCTTCGGCACTCAAGGGTGTGAAAAAGTCTGACCCCTGAGAGCTGTAGCTATGCCAGCCTAAACCCCTGGTGTAGATGCGGCTAGGTCCATGGAAGAATGTTTCCATTCCCCTAGGTACCACAGCTCAGGGAGGCAGAGTTACTACAGTGACAGAAACTCACAATAGTAACAGAAGGAGTTTATCTATGGCATGCTATGGGGTTACAAGAGTATAGCTATGGTGCCATTGTAAGCTGCTGTAACCCCCATAGTGTGTGGACAAGCCTTAAAGCAGAGATTCAAACATTTTGTTATGTATTAGTGTATCCTTCCCAAAATGATAGCACTTACTCTTTGGGTATAGAATGAATTTTGTGGGAAATTTTAAGTAAATCTGTTAGTTAGTTAAAATAAATTAAAAATGGGCCCTTTAAGAAATTTTGCACCCAGGGTCAACATGTATTTTTTGGTCCCAGTTCTCATAACAGAATAATGCAGAGGTTTCATATAGCCTCTGTAGTGATACTATATGGGAGGGGAAGAGGGGGGGAAAAAACCTAATGACTTTAAAAATAAATTTAAACTGTTCTGGAATCACAAACACTAAAATGTCTTTATCAAGGTTATTGCATAATTGCCCTGCAGAGTTAAGGTTGTTTAGATGCCTCCAGAGGGATTTAAGAGATGATAATATTTATCCAGCAGACCAATTTGTCAAGAGTTTGGTATGATTTTTTTTTTATTATTATTATTATCCTCTGCTGTTGAGAGGGTAACATCTAGCTGCTTCTGTAAATTAACAGGCTAATTGCACCTCTGGCCCGTCCTGGTCTCTTTGAATGCACCCCTTCTGCCCCCTCCCCCGATCTCAGGTCTTGAGCTGTCTCTTCTCTCGAGGTAGAATCACAGGATTCTCACACTGTCAGGTTGTGTTGGGCTGCAGTTCCCTGGTGCTAACCATGATTACCTCAGCAGGTCCAACTTAGATTCAGTACCTGCAATTTTCTTCTTTCTGGGAGCTATGACCAGTGGTGTCCAGTGACCAGACAGCCATCTTAAAACAAGGTATTGTCTGTTTAGAACCAAAGCATTTCAGAAAAAAAAATCTTAAAACAATAAACATGCTATGTGCATCTCTAGCCTTCCAGAAGTTTATTCCCCTTCCACAAGGGGAAACTGGTAGGTCTAAGCTTGTTATAGACATCCCACGACCTTAGGGTCTGGGTGGCAGTCTGTTCCCCTAACTCACAACCCAGTTCAGCATCTTTGCTTCAGGAAGTGTCTCTAAATCTTGCTCAGGTTTTTGATTGCCACCCACCTTATCCCTTCAGGGACCAAGTCACTTTTACCTGTTTATAGCCCTTTGATCTGTTAACTCCCAGCACTGGCAGAACAAGTCTTGCAACTTCATTGGATATAGGATGTAGGATCCATTAACTAAGAGCTTTCTTGTTGTCTTTCAAGTGTGTGCTGGGATGTTTTAATCTGGGAGCTACTGTCTTCTTCCTGGTGTCAACCCTCATGTAATTAAAGCAATATAGGCATATAATAAACATTCCAATAAACCAGCAGGTCTCAAACTGTGGATCAGGACCCCATTTTAATGGGGTCACCAGGGCTGGCTTAGACTCGCTGGGGCTGAAGTTGAAGCCCAAGCCCCACCACCTGGGGCTGAAGCTGAAG